TACCTCCTTAGTGCCTTTTAAAGTACAGTATTAGAGAATATCTTCTTAGTGCCTATTATGCACGGTCTTAGAGATTTGAGACACCTTTAGTGTCTGTGTGATATGGTGTTGGAGTTAACGATACCCTATTATGTATATTAGGGAAAACCATAGTCCATATGTGCATTAGAACATCTTTGGCCTAGTGATTCTAACATGCAGATGAGCTCAAGGCCAATAAGAGTGTACATTAGTTTAGGGCAAGCTAATGGTTTCGTGCGAGGTGATCTAGAGGTTTGGATGGTAGTGATCATACTATAATATGCTATGAGATATTATGAATGTTATGTGAAAGTGTGAAAATTTGAGAATGGATATGTGTTATGTGAAAAGGAATAGAAATGAGATATGTGATATAAATGTTATTTTAATGATATTAAATGACATACTATACTTTACTTCCATATTGTTGCATGTGATAATCAATAGGAGTGAGTTATTCTGTTACTGAGATTTTATCTCACCCCCCATGGTTACATGTTTATAGGATCGGGTAATGACTAGGGTAAGGGAAGAGAGTATGGATCGGCTTAAGTTGTGAAGCTGTGTATACTTAGAGTTGCGTAATGAATTGAACTTAGAATTTGTGATATATGGTATCTATGAGTTTGCCATAGGGTTGCATGCATATTTTAAGTAGTGGATATTTTGGAATTAGCCTGATGGTACATATTTGTGATGTAATGAAATAGGAGCTATGATTTGATTTAATTTTGTGAAATTGTTGTGATGTTAGTGAATCTTAAGCTCAAGAGAGAAATTATAATGAAATGAGTAATTTGACACTAAGATTGAGTATTTACATGTGTTGTAGTGTTGAATGTGTGTGATTGTGATTAAAAATGGTCAAATGGACCCAAGTTTTGCCAAAAAGATGGCAAAGTATGTAAATATGGGAAATGCAAAAATTAGCTGTATAACGGTCAAATTTTGATATATGAGTATAATTATAAATATATGTGGTCAATCAGGTGTATTAGATCCTTTTGACTTGATTCAAGGCCTTGTGTGGTCTAATGAGAGAAAGGGGATTGATTTGAGTGCTTCAGTATGCAAATTTCTAGAAAAAGTAACTATTTGCACCGCCGGTGTCCTAATTTTGATCGGACTGTTAGATCGTATCTAAACGTATCTCATTAGTTAGCTTAGTTAGAGATAAGCTACGTGTGAGAGCTTGAATCACTCGATCGACATTCTATGTGAAAATGGGACACGCCAGAAGTTCATTATTTTTTTGCTGTCATTTGGACAGGCGTGCTGCAGTGCATGGTGTCACATGCCGCAACACATGACAACAAAAAGTTGAGCGGTGGCTCTGTGCCACATGCCGTAGTGCACGTACTGTATGCTTTAACGCATGGACCAAATCCCAACTTTATTTTGTGATAAAAATGCATGTAATGGAAATGGAATGTGTCCACTATACATTAGAGAAACATATGATTTACTTTTGCTATGTATTTCTTTGATTGATTTTGATTTGAATGGTTT